AAATTTGTATAATTTTAAAAGATCACTTATGTGAATAAATGACATGAGTGTCATTTTTTCACGCTACTAGATTGTCATCAATAAATTTGAATTTTTCGTCTATTTTATTGAATGACTTTTTAAGTATGATTTTAGAATATTGGTTGCGTTTGTCATTTTTTCCATTTATGAAAAAAATACCCAGTGTTCTATAAAAAAAAATAAACTTGTCGTCATTTCCGGTTCCACCGGAAGTGCTAATAAAATATGAGGTTTCCATCACATAGATCTTTTAAAACGATACAAATTTGCTTAAATAACTACGGGTTTATCTTTAAGAATAAAAAAGTTACAGGGGTTGTATCATATAAAAAAAGACCCTGTATAAACCGTCCGTATACAAATGCCCGATGTTTAAATATCCGGCTCGTAGTGCGAAGGTGGCGGGTTTGATCCCCTTAGTTTTAGTTCCTACATTGTGACTATTATTATCCATACTTTTTTAACTTATAGGGTGATCATAAAAAAAAATAAAAATATACAAACACAAAATTTATAATTTTTCAAAGAAGCTTAGACTGTACTTCAGGAGCGAAGAAAGTTCTGTCTAAATAACTTTAAATCTTTTTTTACTTTATTTGATTAAAACTGTCAGTTTTCAAATGAATGTTCTCCAGTTTCTCGTTAAACACTAATTTTTTGGATAAATTAAAAAAAAATTCTACGAAAATGTTATTTCCGATAGCTGCGATACTATTATTGTTCAACTAGAAAATTGGTGTAAGGTTATTTAGACAGAACTTCTCTCGCTCCTTAAATATAGTCGAAGAAATCCAATTTTATCAAAACATTGTAAAATTTGATTGGAATTTTTTTTATTATGTTATGATAACCCCTGTATATAAAAAATATACATAATACACGTCACAGTGTACAGTCATAAAACGTCGAGAAAACATGAAAATAGCCATTCGTTCGATGGACCCTATTACAGCACCCTTGAGAAATAAAAATATCTCGTAGTAACATGAAATTCATTCTCTCGGACGACTTGGTTTACAATTTGTTTATCATTCGATCCGATTTCGGATTTACAACAGTACAGATATGGGAAGTATCATCTAGAAACATTTTCTAAAGCATTTATGTGTGATATCTTTACAAGAGAATAAAAATTGTATATTCTTTGATTACACTCTTGTAGTTTCTCCAAAGATTTCATTCTAGATATTCTTAATAAGCTAAAAAATTCTAAATATCTTGATCCAGCTAGTATTCTGAAGAGTTTCTCTGAGCCTCTATCTATTCAACTTATGATATTGATGAAATAGTCATTCAGATCAGGTTGTATTCCACAAAACTGTAAAACAGCAACTATAAACTCGTGAGTCTAACGTCATTTGTGTTGAAAATTATAGAATCCATCATTAACGATCAATTGGTCATACAATTAAATTTTTTTTGATCACCATCTGATTCCGCATAATCAACAACCCGGAAATTATATTCAAGCTAACATCCTCTGTTGTAAGTCTAAGCAAACTTTAGAATGTAGATTTAGACTGACTTCTGGGGGCCATATATTTTGATTTCGTCGCCTTTTACTTACTTTTACTAATTATCTGGACTGCTTCATTGTTAAATGATCGAATTTATCGAATTTAGGAAAACTGTTGATATTAGTAGGATACTTCAAGGTTGCATGCTTGATTCATTAGTTCCTGTACAGCTGATATTAAGAATGTTATAACATAGTCCAGGACTGATAGAGGACTGATCTCCGACAGGTCGATCGGAATTAGCTCATAAGTAGTATTTGCAGAATTGGTTAATGGCTACACAGAAAAAATAAAGAATATGCTACGCGAAATATTAGACAAACTATAAAAAATGGAAAAAAAGAACGACAGAAAAAACTGGAGGGGTTAATCAATGAAGTGCTAAAAATTAAAATCGAAAATAAACAATTAAGGGCGAAAAATACAACGTTGGAAATTCAACTGAAAGCACAAGAAGGAAGAATGGAAAATTTGGAAACAGAAATAAGAAACAAAAACATAGAATCCATGGAGTCGTTGAAACTCAAGAAGAAAGAAATGAAGATAAGAAAAACCAAGACAATTAATTGAACATAGAAAACAATGATCCCACACAAGATATATCAAATAAAGAGGGTATAAAGAGGGTATTAAAGGTGATAAAAAAAGGTACAATAAGTCAACGCTAGTTATCCAATGAAGAAGAGGAAGTATTCAAGAAAAAACTCCAAAAAATTCCTAAACTAGAACTGACTTCAAAAAACTTAAAAAAATTAGGAAAAAAGAGGCAGGAAATGAAACGATATGAACTTGGCGATGTTAAAAGACGATGAATTGGAAATAAACAAAGGACGCAAGGTAATAAACAATGAGTATAGAAGGTAATCCTATAGAAGAAGTACAAGAGTAGTGTTTAGTCACCAACTGTTTCCCTTAATGTGTCAACCGTATTAGGGGACATCCTTTAAAATTACGAAAAGAGAAAATTCATACTAGAGTGAGGCAAATTTATAATATTAAATAAAATCTTTCAAGATTGAAACTCTTTATCTATGTGGTGGCTGAATCTACCTCAGTATTTAATACTAAATATTTTCAAAAATCTTGTATATATGTCCACTTTTATATTTTTTGGAGTAGGAGAAATGAGCTTTTTCCACGTATTTAGAAACTATCCACATTCTCCATGGCTTCACAGTACATTCTGTTTAAATTCGTCAGTCAATCCGGAAACTAAATACGAAATAGATATCTAATTACACCGTTTCATGTTGTCTTCCTCACCGCCTAGAGCCGGTCCTGAGTACAAGTATCACTTGAGCGCCAGTTGGCAAAGGTCGAAAGAGAATCACGCTTGTTCTTGTAATAACGAGGTGGGTCGAAAGGTCGAAGATGGCACACGTGCCCGCACTAATGCGGTTGCACCTACTAATGAACTAGGATATACTGTATTACTACCATTCATGCTACATTAAATTATCGATGGTCACATTTGCACTTTACCAGACGTGAAAATTACACGCCCTCATTATTGCGGCTATTTGTTTATTTGGGGAGATATTGATGTAATATTGCAGGGTCGCGTTTACTACCCTCAAGGGGGAATTCGATGTTCGGTTTGGGGAACGAACGAGATGAAGCTATTGTAGTAATTTCCGATAGGTTTTAGCCGTTTTGTCACGTTTTCAAACAAACGGAAAGTATCTTTCCCACCTGGCGTTTATATCGCGATTGGATGTTAGCATAATGTGGAATTTGCTATTGTGCGGGGTAGTTTATAGAGCTTTTGCTATTCGTATTTGTGTAAATGTTGGAAAATTTAAATTGTTTCGAGATATGGATCGGTAAAGTGGAATAAAACGAAAGATATAACGTAACACGTTATTGTATTGGTATTATATTTTTTTACTTTGTAGTTAAGAAACAAAAGTCTCATCTTAACGTGACTTAGAATAACTAGGAGACTTGAGAAGACGTCATCAAAATCTGTGATTGATTAATTGATTAGTGTTCTATTACGCTGATAACACCTTCAAAGTAGCAAAATTTCAAAGGAATTGGTTCAGTAGTTTGTAAAATAAATTATGACAATTTGTTATAGGACTTTTAGTCCAGTCAAATTAGCAATCAACCTCGGAATGAGAGATAATAAGCTGAATTTTCGTATATACCTTCATTTTGGCGTTTTGAAAGTTGTGTCAAAAGTCTCATAAAATCTCGTGTCTGCGTCGTGAGTTATTCCAGGTCAGATGTCAAAAGAAACAGTTTTTCGCGATTATCTCGGTTTCTATTGCTCCAATGAAGTTAACATTTATTATCATAATTGTAGAGCACAAAATTTGGGACAAATTTTATTTGAAACATTTTTTGATGCGCTCAATTGTTTTTGAGATAGAGGGCGGTAAGAGCGCAGCGCTCATCCATACGTACTGTAATGCAAGATCAACCGTGAATATGTGTGAATAGCTTGAATTTTGAATAATTTGTATTATTTATCAATTAATATATTGTATTTAACAACATTTTACATATTTTCAATATATTCATTTAATAATACTTACCTACTTTGTGTAATTTAAAACTCTTTAAATGAAATACTTATTGTATATCTTAATTTATTGAAAGTAGATTTTAAGTAGAAAAATAATTAAGTACTTTATCTTTAAAACGTGTAAGTTTAGTAGATATATTAGATAATATATTATACTTGTTATACTATTATATATCTTAAAGTTATATTAATTTATTCAAAGTAAATTTTAAGAAAATAAAACGAGTTAATATATTTTAATTTTATCTTTATTCAGCAGCTGTACATTTCTTACGATTTTTTTTTTGATCTTGCACTACAGTACGTATGGATGAGCGCTGCGCACTCACCGCCCTCTATCTCAAAAACCATTGATCGCATCAAAAAATATTTCAAATAAAATTTGTCCCAAATTTTATGCTCTACAATTATTATAATAGACTTAACATCATTGGAGCAATAGAAACCGAGATAATAGCGAAAAACTCTTAATTTTGACTTTTGACCTTGAATAACTTACGATGCAGACACGAGATTTTATGAGACTTTTGAGACAACTTTTAGAATGCCAAAATTAAGGTATACAAAAAAATTCGGCTTATTATCTCTCATTCCGAGGTTGATCCCTTTTTTATGCTAAAGTGACTGGACTATTTGAATTATTTTCCAAAAACTTGCGGGTGTAAGGATAAAAATATGTTATAGTAAAATATATATATTATATGTTTTATAATATATATATATATATTATAAAACAACAACAAAGAGTTGGTTATGGGTTCTGTTGCAAACCATTCAACAGTTCCGCAGATTATGTGTCTCATAGAACCGCCAAGGAACAGAATAATTTGTCAGTTGTCTTGAACACAATACTGTGAAACTAAGATATTTAATGGAAAACAAGCTTATCTTATCTATATCTTATCTGTAACTCAAACCTGGCCCTCTACTGACATTTCCACTGTGGCGTTCGAAAAGTATTGACGTAAATTATTATCAGCTCTGTAATAATTCAAAATGTCTTTCAAAATAACCAAAAAGAGTAAGTACCTTTCGTTAAACTTTTCAGTTTTTTTGTGTCACAAGTAGTTAATGCCGTTTTTTTTTTCTCATTTCAGTTAAGAAATTCTTGCCTCGAGTAATACATCCAAAAGCCGTAAAACAAGATGCTCAATTTATCAGCATTATTGGTACCTGTGCGATTGTTTGCCTGCTAGTATTGCCGTTCTTTTTAAAGAGCCATACGACAGTTCTGGCTAAAACGCATTACAAACAAATAACTATTGCAGCTTGTACTACATAAATCACGCTACATCACACAAAAGAAAAATTATTTGGTCCATTATCAGTGAACCCGTCAAAATTAGTTGGCTTTAGGATACCGAAGACTGCGCAGTCATCGAGTGAAAAATCAGAGTGCGAATTTAATACAAATGTATTCAGAAAACCGTGTGATTTATGTTGTTATTAAATGTTATTCAATTTTATTCTGATTTTATTGACTTGCCCTCTTTCTTAGTAGATATTGTGTGAAACATCATGTTAAAAAAATAAATCAATATGCTAACAATTTTTATTTTAGAGCATATTTTATGATGCAACATTTCAAAGAATTGTTGTAATTTCTATAAATGTACGTAAAAGATAAATATTATTTTTTGGTATCTTTGAGTACCGTTTGCGTCAACAATGATGATTCATAAATTTAATTTAATTTAAATTCAACGGAAGCTTGCAATTCTCATGATATGAAAATCCAAATAAGAAAGCTTAATCTAATTACAAATTTCATTTCAAGAAACTTAAAAGATATTTATAATCAAAAAAATTATTTGGTGAAAAATGATAAAAGATGATAACGACTGTCATTAAAGACGGGATTGTAAATCAGACTTTAGGGTTGATAAAAAATAATTATTAAAAGGTTTTCAATTCAATTTCAACCCTCCACACACCAAATCTTGAGTTTTACTACTGAGGAACTTTTCGTCTGTTGAAAGCGTTGGATTATTGGGTGTTTTAAAATTTGATCTCTTAAGTGAACGAAACATTGAAATTTGAACTATAACTTTTGATCTGGTGATAAATGATAATAGACAGTTATCTTATCTACTATCTACTAGGTATTTAAACCTGACCATCAATATTCGCTAACATTTTCACGGTGAAGTTTGAAAAGTACTGACACAAAGTGCATTCGTAAATTGAAAGCCGTTGATAATTGTGTAATAGTTAAAAATGCCATCCCAACTGCGATTGAAAGTACCCAACAGTAAGTACCTGCTGTTGAACCTTTCAACTTTATTGTTTCACAGTTAGTTATTGTCATTTTTTTATAGTTAAGAAATACTGGGGTAAAGTAAGACATACAGCAGCCGAAAAACAAGACACCAAAGATGCTGCCTTTATTGTTGTCTGCGCTTCTGGTTGCCTGCTACTCATGTTGTTATTTTTAAAGGGACACGCTAATGTCGTCACCCAAACATATTTTAAGCAGAAAACGATTGTAGCCTGTACAACATAAATCAAGCCATATCACAGAAGAAAATTTTTTGGTTCTATATCAGTGAGAAATGTCAAAGGTAGTTGATGTCAGTTAGAGTACCGCAACTGCGTAATCATTAAATGAAGAAGTGCTAAGTTAAAATAAATGTATTCCGAAAAAGATGTGATTTATGTTGGTATTAAATATTTATTCCACTGTTTAAATGTTTTCTGATTCTTTGCCTTAACCCGCATTGTGTAAAACTCCCTGTTAATAAATAACTGTGGTAAAAATGTTTGATCTAGAATTCACTTGAGCAATAAAAATAGGATCCAAGACAGATATGGATTTTTGAAAGTCTGTCTTTGATCGTTCCATTTTCAACTCAAAAATCCATGCCTGTCTTTGAACTCTTTGATCGTGTTTTTAGTGATCTTTTGGTATAAGATTGCAAAACATTGCGTAATTTTTATAAATATACTCAAAAAATACGTGTAAGTTGTGACGTATCTTTGAGTACCCTGTATTTACTTCAGCGAAAAGTGATTATTAATAAAAAACAATTGGTTTAATTCAAAGAAAACGTTCAGTTCTGATGATATGAAAATCCAATCAAGAATTTGGTCTTTGGATACAATTATAATCACCAGTTCCCGATAACATTAATCTTTTCCCGCGTGAAAGCTGATTTAATCGGGATGGCTCTTAGCTATGTTTGATGATTCAGACATTTCAAGATCACCACGTCATAATCACAACTCGATTCGCTCGCGAGAAGGGGGGGGGGGGGGGGGAGAACGTGGACCGTCGCAACGCATCTTAACCAATTTCAGACTTTTTAAGGGTTATGTTTTTGTGTCGGGAGTATTAACACTTATTGTATTATCCAATAACTTGATATCATTGGCTTGCAAAATTAAATATGGTGTGTCTACAAAAATTGTTATTGATAGAAATAAATACAGGTCACTCTTAGGTACGTTCAAGGGAATGTTAAAAACATTATATGTTTTTGGCATTTCCTTAAAAGTACCTAATTTTTATGAAAATCCAGAATACGGATCCTTCAACTGTAAACGAACATCATATCTCTTAGCTTACGTATCGCACGCACTATCGCGTTAATACTATGGTATTTATACCGAGTGATCAAAAAGTTTTCAAATTACAGCTGGCCATGAAAATATTTGTCGTGTCCTGACAACAGTGCTCAACTAAGTACATAGTTTATTAAGAATAATTATCTTACCTATGTCTTAATCAGGTTTGCTAACAAATGGGTTAGTTTATCTATTTCGCTCAAATGAGGTTTGACAGACACTTTTTTAAGACAAATTAAAACAGACAGTTCACGGTGTGAAAAAATTGAATTTCTATTTTTATTAAACACAACTGTATCACTTAAAGGAATTATTTGGTTCAGTATCAGTCACGAATCTTTCTCGATTTCTCGACACAGTATAACGTTAATATTGTCTAGAAAATGCCAACGTTGCTGGTGAAACGCATCGACAATTTTTGTAATTTTGTATTTTGGGTGTTAGAGGAGTAATAAACTCTTAAAAGTCAAGTGGATTTTAGGATATAAATGATATAATATACAAATAAAGTGCAAACTTACTACAATAGTTTTCCGATAATGATGTAACTTTTGCGGCTATTTGTTGTTTGATTTTCCTGCTGCTTAGTTTTTACTCTAGAGTTCATTTTGTGATACAATATAACACAAGATTTTTATAATTCCTTCAAATGTGCTTAAAATTTACGTTTTAATTTTAACGTATCCTTGAGAATATTTGTTATACTATCCTCAAACATATTTGGCGTTTATGACTTCACACCAATTTGACTCCCATTATAATTCAATAGGCCGTCACAACCGGATGTCTTAAACCCGCTCACCGATACCTACCTGAAAAGACCTTTTCTGGTAAAAGCACAGGACAGGACTGAGTTTTGCATTTACCGACAACTGCGCCTTTCGAGTTTTTTATTTTAAGTAAAAACAAAGTAACTTTGTACTCAATCATTTTTTATTACAGCACAACTATTTACTTATTAACTACTACTGCTTATTTATTGATCGAAATAGTCACTGTCATCATCATTCGACTCTTCTAAATTAATAATTAACGGTGTTATCAACCGTGCCCTGTACTGGTCTTCTTCTTTTGTGGAATGTCGTACACAATTGGCCCACATTTCGGCAGTTATTTTGGAAGCTTCTTCCCTAATTATGTCAATTGTTGCACTACTAAATTTTGGTGCCGTATTATTCCTTCTTATATTATTTTTCATTTGCGACCAGATTAGTTCGATGGGGTTAAATATACAATGGTACGGCGGAAGTCTAATCACCCTAAATCCACGATCTCCCGCCATAGCATCTATTTTATATTATTTTTCGAGTGTGTAACACTTCTAATAATTGTGTCTTTGTGTAATTTTCTTCAAAGTATAAATCATGTTCTGTAAGGAAATTTTGAAATTTGAAAATTTTAACAAACAAAATTACTCTGAGTCCGGTCCTTCGCGTCTCGACCGTCCCTGGCACGCCGAAAAGGTCTTTTCAGGTAGGTATCGGTGAGTGGGTTTAAGACATCCGGTTGTGACGGCCTATTGAATTATAATGGGAGTCAAATTGGTGTGAAGTCATAAACGCCAAATATGTTTGAGGATAGTATACCAAAAAAACTTATGATTGATGACAAACTATAGATTGAATACAACGGAATTGTGCAGTTATGAAAATAAGAAAATACAAAAAAATGGTCTTTAGATATGATCATAATCATCAAGTATCCGCTAATAAAAATAAATCTTATCTATAGCTCATAAATGATTTTGCAAAGGTGAACATTTTATCCTAGTAACATCAAGTGTATATTAAATGTGGCTGTAGGTGAAAACCCAGAGATGATTTTACGCTGGAAATAGCGTTATAAGTACTCACTTTTTGTAGTGAATTGTCAATTTGTGCTTTAAAAAATGCAAAAATTACTTTGGTTAAAAGATTTAGGTACCATTTTCATTTGTCATTTTTGACAGCATAATTTTAATTTACCTTAATAATTCATTAATACCTTTATTTCAGTTTTTTCTTATTCAACTGTTAAATCTAGAATTACTCTTTATTCAAAAATTAAAGTACCACCACCTGTTGAATTAAGTTGGTACCAAATAAAACTTCTCTAGGGCTTATTTTTACACTGGCAGGTTGGTAGAACAAAAAAAATTAAATTTGAAATTTTATGATAAAAATGTCAAAACAAAACAAATAAAATCAACGTGTTTTGGATGAAAAGCATGATCATCTTAACCTCAATTTTTTTAACACCACATCTTGGCACTAAATATCTCTGGAGGCATTTGTCGGTTGAGTTTTCGTACTATGTTGCCAGTTGAGTGGTCCTTTAATTTCTGAACAGATAATAAGTTTAGTTCAAAATACTTTTTTCTTAGGTTGGCGGCGGGTCCTATCATATGACATTCTTTTCTTAAACATGTGCCTTGTTGCCAATGCTGTCATTAATTTGGCTAATTTACTCCTGTCACCAGTTATTATTACCTAAAATAAATTTCTAACAAATCACAATACTGCCAACTGAACTGTCAGATTTTCATAGAATTTGGAACAATCGTGAATGGTTGTCGTAGTATTAGAAAAACCGTAATGTCATTACATTTGTCTTTTAAAATATTTCTTTAAATATAAATAAAACAAACTGTAAAAACGAAAATCTAACGTACACAAAATGATGAAGAAAAATTGGTCTAAAGAGTTTAGCCAGTACTTCCCTCGCTGTTGGAAACGTGACGACTGCATGCCTATTGTGTTTTTTTTCGCAGTAGATTTCATATATTTTTTTTTGAGTTACCCGGTATATGCAAATTCAAAAAATATGAATGGAATGATAAATTACAAGTACAGACTCATCATATTTTGTATATTCTAGATAGGATTTATTCGGCAAACTTTTGAGCTGACGTCAACAAGTTTTTGGAGGGGATAACCAACTATATTCTGACTAAAGATTTATGATGCTCTTTATAACCTTAAAATATCTGCAAGATTTCAAAGCATTCGGTTTTGTAGTTCTTGATTAACTCAATAAAATATATTCACGCATTCATTAATTTTTTGGAGTCACCCTGTATATAGAAATCCAAAAAATATGAATGGAGTGATAGATCACAAGTACGGACTCATCATATTTTGTACATTTTAGATATGATTTATTCCACAAACTTTTGAGCTGACGTCATCAAGTTTTTGGAGGGGATAAGCAAATGTTTTTTGAGTAAAGATTTATGATGCTCTTTATAGCCTTAAAACATCTGCAAGATTTCAGAGCATTCGGTTTTGTAGTTCCTGATTAAATCAATAAAATATATTTACGCATTCATTAATTTTTTTGAGTCACCCTGTATATGCAAATCCAAAAAATATGAATGGAGTGATAGATCACAAGTACAGACTCATCATATTTTGTACATTTTAGATATGATTTATTCCACGAACTTTTAAGCTGACGTCATCAAGTTTTTGGAGGGGATAAGTAAATATTTTTTGACTAAAGATTTATGATGCTCTTTATAGCCTTAAAACATCTGCAACATTTCAAAGCATTCTGGTTAGCAGATTAAAAATTAAATTTCAAAATATTGTTTTATAATTTTGATTTTTTTTCCAAAAATCTGGACGTTTCGGGTGAAAAGTCGATTCAGAGTTGTAAACTACATGTGTAGGACTATGTTATTTTATACAATTGAAAACCCATTTACTATGTACAATTTTGAAGTGACGTCATCGCATTAGTGGTGGGGATGATTAGACAAATTTTGGTTAGCGTTTTACCATCTACATGATATTCTTAATATAAGTACAAAATTTCACAACAATCGGTCGAGTACTTTCGGAGATTATCTGTCTAATAAAAATCCGGGACAACAGACGGACAGACGGACAGACGGACGGACAGACGGACAGACGGACAGACGGACGGACAGACGGACAGACGGACAGACGGACAGACGGACAGACGGACAGACAGACGGAAATGGGAGACCTATTTCTTCGTCTTCTAGGGGTCATGAAAGATCGAGAAAACGTAAAAGTAGAGAGTCGACCGACGGACTCAATTACAATACTTCCTTTGCTTACGCTCGGGAAGTAAAAAGACCCGAAAGAAAAAAGAGGATAACGTTGAAAGCTGTTGTAAAT